GGACCCCACATCTGGAAACCAGGGTGAAAGAATGACCTTTTTAAGAGATGGAGAGGTTTAATTTATCCCCTTCTAAATAGAACCGCTGATTAAAGCTAACAGATTGTGACTGCCTGGTTTTTTAAGGCAGAGGTCTAGAGATGGGCTGATTCACTGCTCTGAAAGTGGATCTCTGAATTGGGGCCTTGATGTTTTATGCAAATCATGCTGCACTTTAATTTACATGTCCTCCAACTTTCTATAGAAGAAGTCTTTGGTTCTGCCTGTATATTAATATAATTCTGTTGCTAGAAAATTGAAATGTACTGCCGCTAATGATACCCGTTTCTACATAACATGTCAAAAAAAGTACTTTTGCAACTGACTTGAGAAGAAAAGCCCTCCAGATTATTGGCATCTAGTTGTAAAGAATACATGTCTGCCATTATTTACAAATGGTTTATTGCTTTCTTTTGTGAATACATGTAAAGACGTTTGTTAATTATACATTGCATGAGTTAAAAAAAAAAACCCTTCAGCTGTCTCCTTACATATTTTGAATGCCCCTGTTTCTATATAATTACATCTAAGGTAAGATGAACAACCCTGTACTGCTATAATACCAACAAATATGTATGTATCTTAGTCTGATCTTGGAGTGGGCTATAAATGGATTTTCCACCTTGTTAATCTGAAACTCACTTTTCTTGTTGAAAGAGTTTCAATATTTCAGAGGTCTTTTCATTTGATTATACATGCAAATCACTAGGGAGGCCTGATACACTGATCATGAAATTATTCATTCCTGCAATAGAAACTTAACAACCATATCTACACAGTGAACAAGGCTTTTAAAATAATTCCCCGCTCCCCTTGGAGTATTGGTAATAATGGCTGTTGGAAACACAGAGGTTCAATCCAGCACAGGGCCTTCGAGAAAGCAGCACAGGTAGGAAAAAAAGAAAATACATACAGGGTGTGACTTCCCGTTTCAAGAGGGAAGTGATACCTTATCTGTCTCATGCTCATCACTTCATGAATGCAACTTCAAGTGCTGAATAGCACATGCAAATGAGCCACTCCAGAGCTGATATCAGAGTGAGAACTTTCACAGTCATTGGTGCCACCTTGAAGTATGTGTATTATTAGTGAGCTCAGCATTGACATAAGGGCCACAGGAAGCAGTGATCCAACAGGGATGGCTTGAAAAGAGAATTAGAGGACAATTCATGGAGGACAAGGCTATTAGCAGCTCTAGCCATGATGGCTGTGTTCTACCTCCAGGTATTATGCCTCTCAGCACGGCTGGCCTTACCTTTAGGCAAACTGAGGCAAGCTCCTCAGGAGGTGGAATCCCATCAGGATCCAGAGGCGGCAGGTCCTGCTGTTGTGTCTGCTTCCTGCTTAGTCCATTATCGAAGATGTGGCCTGGTGAGGGAAGCGGCCACCACAAAATATGGCACTGAGGCCACTGCCACCTCCAAAGATGGTGCTGGGGCCTTGGAAGTGGCCACTTCACCATGAAGATCACTAATAAGGCAAATCATCATTTAAAAAAAAAACCCTTAAGTCTTTAATAATCAGCCATCACTTCCCTACACACTTTGCACCATTGTCACTTTTCACAGAAACCAAACACAAACCTTCTTTAACCTTAGGATGTATAAGGCTGTACTAACCTTAGGATGTATAAGGCTGTACTAAATAAATTACAAATGTTCATAGTTTTCTTCTGACCTGACTGACTGCTGCTCTTGGGCCTGCCTTGGCAAATTACAGAAATTTCACTGACTAGAAAAGGGAGGTTATTGTTTTACTTTGTTATTACTTTGTTATTATGGTATGTATTTTTGTGTTTTTTATATTGTAAGCCACCCAGCAATCTTTGGATGAAAGGCAGTATAGAAATTTAATCAATAATAAATAATAATAGAAAGAAAGTGCCTTAAAGGGAAGACTTGTGTGAGGGCTTCTTCATACAGCAGCTAAGGAATCACTGTACTGTTGGGGAAAGAGCCATACGATGAACCGTCCTGAGATCTACGATGAAGGACAGCATACAAATAAATAATAAATCTATGTTTCACATTGTGTTTCAACTCATGAATATAAGATGAGCCTGCAAGATCAGGCCAAAAGCCCTCTAGTCCAATATCCATGTATAGGACATGGCCGCAGCAGCATTCTCCCCTACTCGGAATCCCAGCTACTGGCGCTGCAAGAGATACAGTGGTACCTCAGGTTACATACACTTCAGGTTACATACGCTTCAGGTTACAGATTCCGCTAACCCAAAAATAGTACCTCAGGTTAAGAACTTTGCTTCAGGATGAGAACAGAAATCGTGCGGTGGCGGCGTGGCAGCAGCGGGAGGCCCCATTAGCTAAAGTGATGCTTCAGGTTAAGAACAGGTTCAGGTTAAGAACGGACCTCCGGAATGAATTAAGTACATAACCAGAGGTACCACTGTATTGCCTTTGACAATGGAGGTAGAATACAGCCATCATGACTAGGTAGTGAAGCACACCAAGGAATTTGCCAAATCATTTCTTACAAGAAAAAGTCAACATGCAGTGACTTTTCCCTGTCATTCTCCCATAGGTAAGGTAAAGGTACCCCTGCCCGTACGGGCCAGTCTTGACAGACTCTAGGGTTGTGCGCCCATCTCACTCAAGAGGCCGGGGGCCAGCGCTGTCCGGAGACACTTCCGGGTCACGTGGCCAGCGTGACAAAGCCGCATCTGGCGAGCCAGCGCAGCACACGGAAACGCCGTTTACCTTCCCGCCAGTAAGCGGTCCCTATTTATCTACTTGCACCCGGGGGTGCTTTCGAACTGCTAGGTTGGCAGGCGCTGGGACCGAGCAACAGGAGCGCACCCTGCCGCGGGGATTCGAACTGCCGACCTTTTGATCGGCAAGCCCTAGGCGCTGAGGCTTTTACCCATAGCGCCACCCGCGTCCCATTCTCCCATAGTGAGGTTGTATTGTGAAGGTACATCCATCAAATATTTTCACCACATTTACTTATTTGATTCCATTTATGAATCACTTCCCCTAAAATATCTCAGAGTGATTTCACGGTATAAAACATCAACACTAACAGCAATTCCATGTACCGGTATATAAAAAACTAAAAGTGAATTCAAATCCAGTACAGATCGGGATGAATATCTCCAGTTATTTAAAAGACTTGTTATGAAAGGAAAGTCTTCAACAGGCATTGAAAGCACAATACAGATGGTGCCTGTCTGATATGTGGCAGGAGGAAATCCAAAGGGCAGGTGCCACCACACTCAAGGCCCTCTCCTGCAGGTACCATCTCAAATTTTCAAAAAAGAACACCACCAGCAGCTAATGCTTCTTCCTTTGAGAATGACTATGGAACATACATCACATGAAGACGCAGAAGTTGAAATGTTTCTCTTAAAAGTCAAGGTGCTATAGGTCTTTCTTGTACTTTGAGAAGCTTCCATAACTACCTCCAGCCCAGTCCATTGCAGTCCTACAGGACATTTAATACAAGTAATCAAAAATGTGATACATGTTGAGCAAAGATTTGATTAGCCCTTTTCCTCCCCCTCTATGGTTCCGTTTCCACCATGCCCTTTTCAAACTAAATGTTAGCATTCGATTCTGTTTACGATAACAGAATCCGGGGTGGGGGGGACATATGTAAAAAAATTGTACAATCTTTATATTTTTGTATCTGAAAATTGTATCTTTTGGTGTAGGTATTGTCTCATTCCACTAATATATTTTAATCCAAATCACTTGAAAAATCTGTCTGCGCTACAGTTAATGGATTTAATTACAACGAATACAGTTCTGACCTTTCTCCAATCTAGATTTAGACATTGTGCACCATAGTAAATGCCTTTTTAAAATTCACCAACGATATGTCATTATTAGTAGACAAAAGAGCATTGATGATATCCAAAGACCTATCTAAAGCTTATGATTTAATCATCATGTTCCCTTGATTAAAGAAATTACTATTCTTTGGACAATTTATTCCTGCTATTATCTGGGGCATATTTTCTTGGACAGTCATAAAAATGTTAGACGGATAAGTTTGAATGAAAATGGTTAGCATTATGAGTTATTTGGAAATGTTGATTGACCCTTGTTTGTGATGGAAAAACAAATCTTGAAATGTAAATAATCAAGCACGGATTGGAACTGAATTCTGAGTCCCAGATACTGCATTTTGCTAATGCTGTACTCACTATAGGAAATCAGGATGCTAATGAATAGTGTTGTGAGGCCGTATAGAATTTTTAAAAATGGAAATGGAGAAAACCATGTTGTTTCTTATAACTGAACATAATATCTCAAAGACAACTGGTCAGCAGTACCAGCATACATTGACCAAACCTCTGTCTGCTTTTCAAACAGTTTGTGCTGCAAAGCCTAGGGGTGTTAAATGAAAATATTTACATGCAAAAATCAGTCCCCAGCATCCCAACACACTCTAATTCCATCACCACACTCTAGAACACAAGTAGCCCTCAAGATACTGTTGAACTCTATCTCCCATTAACCTCAGCCAGAATGGCCAATAGTCAGGGTTGAAGGGAATGATAGTCCACCAACATTTGGATGGGCACAGGTTAACCACCCTTGCTCTAGAATGTCCCAGGAAACAGAGTCCTGGGTAGATCTACAGAGATAGGGATCAGCTTGGTTCTCAGAGGCTTCTGTTAGGTTCTGCAGGACAAAGCAAATAGGCTGGTGATAGGAATTGAAGTTAAGAGGGAGCAAAACTTAATCTTTTTCCAATGATAACATGGACATCGGGGCGGTTTTAGTCCCACCTAGTGGTGAAGTGGCTCACAGTTTTATTTTCTCCCTTATAAGTGAACGACGGCCATTGATTCCTAATGGGGGAAAGTAATATTATGCCCCTTACTTGAGAAAAACACTGTGGTGGAGACAAAACCATCCATGATACTGAGTGGCCCAGGCAACATTTTCAGGGAAGCAGCAGTCCCTTCACATTCTCCTGAAATCAGCTCCATGAGTGCAAGGAAGGTAGCTCAGTTGGTTAGAGCATGGTACTAATGATGCCAAGGCTATGCAGGTTCAATCCCTGTATGGGGCCGCTGCATATTCCTACATTGCAGAGGGTTTTGATGATCCTCAGGGTCCCTTCCAACTCTACAATTCTATGATTCTTTTGGACACATTCCTACCAATGACAATAAGGGATTGGAAAGAGGGGCAAGCAGAAGGGAGTGCAGAACTCTCTATTAGGAGTGTGTCAGGGATTCTGATGAACCCCAAATCCCAAGCTGCTTCTGAGGGATTCAGGGGTTGTCCAAGGTGAAGTGGAATCTGTAAAAGGGACTCCAAATGAAAGCACCTGGCGGCACCTCAGTGACTCAAGACACCAGAAGTTGCCAAGGGCCACACAAAAAAAAGTCCTCGAGGGCCACATTCGGCTATCGAGCCTTGTGTTGGACCACCCTCATCTAAGACAATTTGGTGGCTGGGCACATGGACCAGTGTGGTGGCAGCTACCATCTCCATTTTCTTTTCAGCACCTATTGAGGAGCTTCCTTCCTCAACAACCTTTTAAGTAGAGTTGTTGTTTCTCTCCCAGGCTGCATTGAAATTGTCTTTAAATATGGTTTATGATTGATTATTTCATTGCTATATTGCATTCAGATGTTTTAGGAGAAGCGATTCATCATCAACGGAATTAGCACTGTTTCAAATGCTGCATAATACCCGTTCCACATTTGTAAGAAATCGCTCTTTTAGTGTGGCAGCACCCACACTTTGAAACTCCCTGCCTATTGATATCAGGCAAGTGCCTTGACTGTACTCTTTTCAGCACCTGCTAAGAACATTTTGGGTTTAGGCAAACCTACCCAGGTATTTAAGGGACACGGGTGGCGCTGTGGCCTAAACCACAGAGCCTAGGGCTTGCCGATCGGAAGGTCAGCAGTTCGAATCCCCGCGATGGGGTGAGGTCCCAGCTCCTGCCAACCTAGCAGTTCGAAAGCACCTCAAAGTGAGAGTAGATAAATAGGTACTGCTCCGGTGGGAAGATAAACGGCATTTCTGTGCGCTGCTCTGGTTCGCCAGAAGCGGCTTTGTCATGCTGGCCACATGACCCGGAAGCTGTCTGCGGACAAACGCCGGCTCCCTCGGCCCATAGAGTGAGATGAGTGCACAACCCCAGAGTCGTCTGCGACTGGACCTAATGGTCAGGAGTACCTTTACCTTTACCTTTACCCAGCTATTTAGAAAGTTGGTTCGAGTTTTGATCTGTTTTTAGTCTATTGTTATTTTAACTTTTTGAAAGTTTTAAATTATTGTTAATTTTTCTTTGTGATAATTTTATAGCTTTATCCCTTTTTTGCAAACCTCTTTAAGGTTTTTTACATTCAAGCTGTGCATAAATTACGTGAAACGAATAATAAATAAATAAACAATTAAAAGTGCAGAAAATCTGAAGAGCACCTCACCTTTACACTAAATTAACACAGGGCATAATCTACTGGGGAGCTTTTGAAATAAATGGGAATTTCTCTTCACAGCTCCCCCTCATTCCAACAGAGTTTGTATTATTATTTAATAATATGACCTTTCATAGGCATCTGAAGGCAGCCCTGTTTCAAGAAGCTTTTAATGTTTAATGTTTTGTTTTGTCCCTTTATTCTTGGCTGGAAGCCACCCAGAGTGGCTGAGGCAACAGTCAGATGCGGAGTACAAGAAATATAGTATTACTGCTACTACTATTATTGCAGGAGAATATTATGATGCACAGCTCAGATCATGGGTGCCTTGGGGGCCAACACCTCCCAAAAAAATCCCAAATCAGAAGGCCGCCCCCTGACTTATTCAGCAGCCATGCACACATGCCACGGGCTACCCACACAACACGTCATGCATGCACACACACCATGGGTCACACTGACATCACGCAGCCCCGAGCCCCCTCAGTCAAGGGGGCAAGGTGGCCTGCATGGCTCGGATTATCTATCAGGCCCTTTGCTGCCCTTAATGGCTCCCTCAGGCTCAGGTAGTGGATGCTGAGTGCCATTTAGAGCAGCAGCAGCCACCTTACCTGGCCATACATTAGGGGTGCCTCTGGCCATGCTTCCATCATATATGCTGGGATGGGGAATCTTTTCTAGCCCAAGAGCTGCATCCCCTTGTGGGCAAACATCTGAAGGCTGCATGCCAATGGTGGGGACGACCAGAGGCAAAAGGGTGGAGCAATGGATGTTACTCTTACCTTTCCTAGGTAGGCTACATTCCACCCATGCAGAAATCAGAGGTTTTTACACACACACACCAACGCCCTACACATCTCTCCATCCACATAAGCAAGAGACATTATCAGAAGTCAGGGTCACAACCCAGCCAGGAAACAGCACTTCAGGAGCCACTGAGAGGTGTGGCTTGGAGAGAGAGTGTGACCTCAACAGAGTCCCTAAGGCTGGATATAACAGTAGTAGAGCGTTCTCTGCAGCAAAGCAATCCCTGCCTTGTGGGGGCAGCGCTGGGCTCTCAGGGTGCCTGGGCTGCTGTGTCCTTCTCGAGAGCCCTCCAGCTGGATGCCTCCCCCCAAAACTGTGCCCAGGGCAATGGTCCCCCTAGCCCTCCCCCATGCTATACCTCTCCTCTGGATGTAGAAACCTCAAAGGCCTTTGTTGGCATCCAAGCTTGCGGTTCCCCACCTCTCAGAGATGGATTTAGGGGAGCACGACCTGTTTAGTCACAGTGGGCACGTGTGATGGCCTGGGACTCGGGCTCAGACTCGGAGGAGTCTCAGTCCGCACTGGATCCTCTGCCTCAGGCGGCATCTGAACTGAGTCTGGGGCCTGATTCTGAAGAGTCCCAGTCTGCACAGGTTCCCCTGCAACAAGCACCAGCTGGGCCGAGTCAGATGCTTGAGCCTGCCCTGGCTCCAGATGTGGGGATTACCTCATTGCCCTCTGCTGGGCAATCAGGTACAGCTGCTCCACTACCAGTTGGGTCAGGAGAGGCTGAGGCGGCCTCTGGGTCTAATAACCCACCAACATCTCCCGAGCTGCAGAGACTCGGGTCTGAGAGAAGGAGAGACCTGAGTACTCGTGGGAGGAGTGCTCGCTTACAGGCAAGACAAGGCTGTCGGGCCCCGCCCCAGGTTGTGGGAGCAACATTGCTGCTTGCTGGAACCTGCCTGTTACCCTGTGCCTGACCTAGCCTGGTTTCCTGCCTTGGCCCTGTTGGACTGACTCCTCGTGGAATCCTAGGATTCAGGACCAGACCTGGACCATATTGCTTGGGTTAATCCCCGGGCCCAGCACAGCATGGACCCTCGGGGCACCATAGGGGGTGCCACAACTATGAGGTAAAATGGAAGGCGAGAGGTGGGGGCACCTAATTTTGGCATCACATAGGGTGCCAAGGTCTGTCACCACACCTCTGATAAAGACATTATCCCCTTCTGGAAATGGCTAGGTGTGTTTGCAAGTGCTCTGATCTCAACATGCACATAGATGAACCCCCCCCCCCAATTGCTACCTGCCCTACTCCTGACATCACATATTACACAAGGCAGTGATGGGCATCAGCTTGGGTGGTTTTAAAAGAGGATTAGGCAAAATTGTGGAGGAGAAGACATTCAATGGCTTCTAGCCATGATTGCTGTGCTCTGCCTCCGTGGGTGGAGAATGCTGTTATGCTCACAATTGTTCACAGGCATCTGGCTTGCCACTGAGAACAGGATCTGGGACTAGATGGGCCATTCTCCTGATCCCACAGGCTCTCCTTATGATGTCAGGTGTGGGGCAGGTAACTATGGTTTAGGGATAGCCATAGCCTATGGAAAACCATAGTTTGACCTCACAGGCCAAACTGGGATCTTTGTGGACCCCGGGGTTGGAGGTTCTGCACCCCTGAACTATGCCAGGGTTCTGTGTTCACAAGTGGCCAGTGAGATGCTTTGAGAAGAAGGCAAGCAGCACATCTGGGAAACCACAGCTCTGTCCCATTATTTACCTCCAACAGAACTACAGATTCTTAACTTGGAGGTTATTTAAGACCATAGGGACTTAAGAGATCAGACCACGGAGCCATCTAGCCCAGTATTCTTTTTCTGACTGTGGGCCATCAGGTGCTTTTTGAGAAGCTTGTAAGGGGAGATAAAGGCAACAGCCCTTCTCTGTTGCTCATTTCCAGCACAGAGGTAGACTGCTTCAGAACATGGAGGGTCCATTTAGTTGTAAATGGCTCCCTGCAGCAGATCCATCATCTGTATAACACTCCCTCTCTCCCCAGACTAAATGTTCCTAAGGAAAAGACAATGAATCTTTTTTCTTTGATTTCAGATCAACTCCCCCCCCATTAAAAAATAAAACAGAAGAGCTGGACAAAGACAGCTTCCATTTTAAGGATGTATTCTTGTGGGAGGGGTTGTTTTCGCTCTTGAGTTAGTTCCCCAAGCTTTCTGTCTCTCTCTTTTTAAGGGAAAAATAGTAGCAAGGATTGAAGCGAGGAAGCAATCCAACCCCCCCACCCATGTGTAAAAATAAAAGAGAGGACCATGCTTTGACTAAGCAAATCACTATTATTAAGGCGCCGGCCTCCAAATATTGTTCCTGATCCACTCATTGATCGAGTTCCTCCTTGTCATTAAGGGCAACGCCGGTTTCCCAGTCGATCCAGGCTCTTTTGGAATTGGAACCAAGAGCAGCAGCGACAAAAGTCCTAAAACCGAAGGAATGAAAGCGAGTGAGTTTGGAAAGAGGCACTGGTAAGTGGCAGGGCATAATGGCTCCTTTGTGCTTCTCCCCGAGGGATTTGGGCTGGGGAAATGGGCCGACGTCAAATCTGATTGGAAAATTGATAGTCTCCGGAGAATACCCTAAGTCCAAAGGAACCGCTGAGAATGGCTATTCAAGCCCCCTGCTTTGGGATTCCGGGTTTTTTGGGGGGAGTTAATTAGGGGGGGAAACCTCATTGTTTGCAACTGGGGGGGGAGAGGCAAGCGCCTCTGGAAACGCAGGACACTTTTTTTTAAAATGAAGATCAAATGAAGATACGAACTAGGAAGGTAAAATCTGAGTCAGGGCTCACTCGCGTAGTGGGGCGGGTTGAGGGATGAAGGGA